CCATCTTGGCTCATTGCAACCTCTGCCTCCGGGTTCAAATGATTCTCCTGCCTCAGCTTCCTGAGTAGCTGGGATTACAGGCACATGCCACCACTCCCGGCTAATTTGTGTGTGTGTGTGTGTGTGTGTGTGTGTGTGTTTAGTAGAGATGGAGTTTTACCATGTTGGTCAGGCTGGTCTCGAACTCCTAACCTCCTGATCTGCCCACCTCAGTCTCCCAAAGTGCTGGGATTATAGGCGTGAGTCACCACACCCCGCCTTAAATCTTTTTTTCTTTTCTTTTCTTTTTTTTTTTTTTTGAGATGGAGTTTCACTCTTGTTGCCCAGGCTGAAGTGTAATGGCTCAATCTCGGCTCGCCGCAACCTCTGCCTCCCAGATTCAAGCAATTCTCCTGCCTCAGCCTCCCGAGTAGCTGAGATTACAGGCATGTGCCACCATGCCAGTTCATTTTTTTTGTATTTTTAGAAGAGACAGGGTTTCTCCATGTTGGTCACGCTGGTCTCGAACTCCTGACCTCAGGTGATCTGCCTGCCTCAGCCTCCCAAAGTGCTGGGATTACAGATGTGAGCCACCATGCCTGGCCAATTCAGATCTTAATTAACTTTTTCAGTAAAGTTTCATAAATGCCTTCAGAAAGATGTTTTTTGGTTGGAGGATTTCTAGATGTTGTATGTTTGGTTTTGCTTTGCTTTTGTCAATATGCTTTTTTTTTTTTTCCTACTATATATTTAGGATTGTTTTTTGTTTGTTTGTTTGTTTGTTTGTTTTTTTAAATTAGAGACAGGGTCTTGCTGTGTTGCCCAGGCTGGTCCCAAACTACTGGCCTCAAGCGATCCTCTTGCCTTAGCTTCCCAAAATGTTGGGCTTATAAGCATGAACCACTCCACCTGGGCTATGATTAATTATTACTGCTGGATTTCAACAAAGCTATTGGTTTTTTCCATGTTGAGCTCATAGCTTAGCACTTGCTGAAATCTCTAATTGGTTTTAAAGGTTTGTGTCATTAATTCTCTTGTGTTTTTAAGACCCCTAATCCTATCATTGACAAATAGAGTTTTCTATCTTCCTTTCAAAGAGTTACACTTTTTTTCTTTTTCTTGTTTCATTACATTAGTTAGGACCTCCAGTATAATGTTGGGTAGAAGCAATAATAGTGAGAATCCTGTTTTTTCCTGACATGTGTGGGTATCCTTATAAGTTTCTCCATGAAATATGATTGTAAACACACTATTTCTACTTTTATCTTATTCTTTAAAATCATCTTTCAGTATTCTGAAAACCACCTTCCTTTTTTTATCCAATAATTCTGTCTTGATACTAATTTACACAGGGAATGATGGAAACCAGGCAGTATGGTAAAACAAATAGAAACTTCTGCAATAATAGAAATATTCTACATGTGTGCTGTCTAATATGGTAGCCACATGTGGCTACTGAGCATTTGAAATGTGGCAGTACAACCAAGGAACTGAATGTTACATGTAATTTAATTTACATTTAAATTTACAAACTTATACTTGATTCAGTTATTGGAAAACTTTTACGTATGCTTGGAACAACTGGGGTATGTGAAGGTATTTTTCAAATGTAACTTTTATCATATAAATAATGATCAGGTGTTTCTAGTGAACGTTTAGTGCCCAATTGAGATGTGTTGTAAGTACAAAATACTAAACAGATTTCAATGATTTGGTTCCAAAGAAAAGGAGGTAAAATAGCTCAGTAATGATTTTATATTGATTACATGTTAAAATGTAATATTTTTATATATTAGATTAAATATCGTATTAAAATTACTTTCATCTGTTTGCTTTTATGATTCCTAATGTGGTTATTAGAATATTTAAAATTACATTTGTGATTGCCTTTATATTTCCCTTGGACAGTATTTTAGAGAATGTAGTGGTAAGAGGAACCGGCTTCCCTGAACTTGAGGTTATGGCCCTGTGACTTAGACCCGGCCTCTCATCCTCTCTGAACTTTGGTTGCTTTGTGTTAAAAAAAAAA